TATTGTTATTTGTGCAGACTTATCGTGCTTATTGGTGCTAATTGAATATTATGGTACAATGAACAATAACTAAAAAAACATAATGGCCAAAACCCATTTGTTTCATCACTTAAAGTCACACCAACAATATTGGTCGTTTTTTATATTTGTGATTTTTACATCACTTAAACTCAATCGACATGGTGATTGACAAATTCGGTGAAATGATTCAAAACGCATTAATAAACCATTAAAGCAGTGTTTTGTTAGCATAACATACAAACCGACAACTATACGTTTTCGTCAACTACCTAACTTTTGTTTGACTTTGGGGTTGTTATTGACGAACATTGTTATTTTATTAATATAATAACCTATACGATTTTCGTACGAGCTTTACCGACGGGGAAAAACGTCCACCGGACAAAGTACGTTTTAGTAGACACTGTGTTATCCGACGAGGAGACGAACGTTACAAAATATGTTACAATTTTACGAAATTAATTATTTTAAAACCCCACGAGGCCAATCAAATTTCGTATCAAGCGGACGTTATATTATTATTATTATACGTACATTATAATATTATATTATATTATAGCATAAAGAAAACGAGTGTGCATAATATAGGTACACGCAAAACCGGTCTTTATAGGTCTTATGACGTGAGATTTATAAACGCGCGACCTTGTGCGGCGTTCTTCGCGTATATTTATATATATATTATATAAAGCTTGACGGTTTATTAAAAAACTAGTCATCTCGTAAACACAAATACACACACATATATATATATACTCACTGCACATACACATATACATATATATATATATATTTATACCTCCATATGACGTATATATCTAGAATAGTACACGTGCGGCGCTGATCGTGACTGCGGCAGCAAACTTCTGTCGAAATATATATAGAGGCGAATCGCTAATTTGTAATTCGATTTCGGACCAGCCAGAGTGTATATATATATATATATTACACGTAATGGCTAATGCCCATTACCCATTTATACATAAGCGCACACGGTGTATGTACCTATTATATATATTATATAGTATTGTAGTTGACACGCTCTCGGGATACTGTCACAATAGTTTATATATACATAATGATATATCGTACACACGTCATATAGACGCAATAATTCCCGATATAGTGACGTGGACGGGTAAAGATGGCGGAGAAAGTCGCTCTAAAACTGCGAACACTTACGGGTGTAACAATATGCACTTTACGATATACATAGGTACATAAATATAGTGCTTTGGCTGTGGATTTTACTATAACTATCCCCCCCCACGGTATACTGGTCGACGGCGTATACATTATTGAAGTTCGACCAAAGCTCTGGGGCGGACGAAATTACAATTTTTTAGTGTACGGAGCGAGCGGCTGCCCAATGACCCTTTCCCCTCCCGAAATAAACCTCTCCTTGTCGTTATCGCATTCGTTCGACACCGCTATAGTTTGATGGTTGGAAAATTGTATTATATTGGATGAACTCACTCCTAAAATGGCTTGGGTGGGGGGGTCGATTCACCGATCATCACCTCCCACCGCCGATCAGCAGATATACGGCGCCACTGCGGAGTGCTCATATTTATTATATATATATATGTAGCTGTGAATGTAGAGAAATGAAAAGTCAACCCAGCTCGAGGGTGCAGTTTCGAAGTTTTTCGATTTTCACAGAGTAAACGAGCTTATAGTATAGGTAGGCATACGATATTTTAGAGCGTGTCGAGTTTCGCTCACCGTCACAAGTGCGCAAGTCACAAGTCGAGTAAACTGTGCAGTCAACGTGACATCGTATATGCCGGTTGGATACATGTTCAGAGACCGCTTCGGTTTTTGAAAATGTTTCTTTTGCATGATTTTAAGTCGTAAAAAAAAATAACAACGGTTTTCACAAAAATTAATTTGTATTACTATTTTTATCGCGGTTGTCATTTTTAGAGACAGACACTATTAATTCGTTTTTCCCGAAGCGGAAGGTTTTTTAGAGTATACTTATATAACTAAAATTATAGTTAATCGACCATGACAAAATTTAAAGGTAAGATTATTGTGTAGGCCATCTCGGAAGCTTTTATTGATACTTTGAAGCAAGTTATGACCTTTTTGAAACTGTACGTTTTAAAATGATCATAACTTACTTGCCTTATCTGTAAATGTTATCATTGGTAAATTCACTGTGATTTTAAAAACAACACAGTCAAATGGGTTATTGTGTAACGTGGTCGGGGGAACGACCGTATCTGCAGATATCCAGGGAGAGTCGTAGGAACCTAAATAGATGTAATTACCATAGGCTGGAGGGGGTAGATATATATCAGAATCTTAATTATATTTAAATTATTATAGGTTTCAATTTCAATTATTATTAAGTTGTATTGTCTACTAAACACTTACAAATAGTAAAACACTCACAAAATATATAAATTAAGTTCTTAATATCGTACTATATGCGACTGTATATATCGTCGTCATACGGATGAGTTCGGTGGTCGTAATGTGTTGAAGTCTAAAGTGCACAGTGAACTAACTTCCTTATAAGTTATAAGACGTATAAGTTAGGTATGTGTTGGCCTTAAAATTATGTGCTCGCAGCAATATTATTGTATCGGTCAGCAGTTGGTCGTACATAATGTGGAGTTTATATTATATATACATAGGCGTCATGTAACAAATTTACAATTGTTACAAATTGTTAACGTCAAATTTGCTATGTATAATACATTTGTAAGACTGAGACAACACAATGTGCGGGTCTGGAACAAAGTAACAAAATGATAAGGATCAAAATAAATAAATACATTTTTTTTCAATTTTCGAAAATGTTGGTGTTTTCTCAAGCGACGATAATGATGCCTTTTACGGATCACCCAGTATATAGGTACCTAATTGTATAGATCGTGATGAATAGCAAACACTTAATACTGAACAAATTTTTGTACATTATAATATTATATTTACGCTCGTACACAGCAGCTATAGATGATTTTTGTGCATTTTGTACGGTTTTTTTCTCGTGATTAAACCCTCTCGGCTACGAACACAAAAGATAAAAAATATTATATTATATCATACACGCGCGACTCTGTGGCGGTGCGATTATAGTTTTTTACTGCACTTTACGACACTATACATACGAAAATTATTATCTTCTCACGGTGTCGTTGTTAATTTAATTAAAATTAAAATGTTCGCCAAGGCGAAAATGATGACGATGTATTATAAGATACGCGCAAAGTGTACGCGGATTACGTCGCAGCGGTGTTGGTTTATAAAATATATATGTCCGTAGGTGTATATACAGAGTGTTTCTGCTCCACGGAGATATTATATTCAAACGTAATTTCAATATTATTATAAACTGTCAATTCTTACCAACGAACAACAAACTCGAGACCTCGGCGGCTGATGGCACGACATAATGACATTATATATTATTATGTTTAGATCGGTTTAAATCTCTGATAACATGTATTATGTATTGCTTGTCTAAAATCAATACATTTTTTTTTTTTTTTTCATTTATTCAAACTAATTGTTTCAATACACTTAGTATTATTACAATGTAGCTTAAATTAACATAATGTATGTATGTATAATATATTTAATATAAATTTTAATATTAGCTATTTGCTTATCTAACTATGGTATATCGTATATGTGATTTAATGTATAGGTTTAATCAGGAATCCGGACAAATGTAATTATGGGGAAATATTGCCTTTGGAAATGAGAGTATTTAGTACTGTGGAGAGTAGGGAGATAAGAGGATTGATTAATTGAGCTTAAATTAGATATAAACATGGAACAGGTGTCGGTGAATTTCTCTGTATGTGTGTTTTGTTGTTGTTTGGTGGCTTCTGCGTAAGATTTTGTTGTGGAGTGAGCTTTAAATTCAGGGCGCTTAGTTGGAGGAATTTTTGGTGCAGGTTTTTGAGAAGCTGCCTTGTATACTGGACATCCCTTAAAGTTGGCAGTGTGGTCCCCACTGCATAGGGCACATTTGGCAGGGCTGTTGCAGTCTCTGGAACAGTCTTCCGTCAGGTGATTTTCACCGCATTTGACGCATCTAGGTTTATGACTGCAACCGATCAATACATAGAAACCTATATAATAGCACTACCATCGATCATACTATTGATGTTCCATATTATGTTCTATGTATATTGTACAGGGTACGAGCAGGTTTATCGATGAAGATACAACTCAATAAGACATAATATAAAAATAATTAATTCCATTTAAGATTAAATTATGTTTGAAAAATAATCGAAAAAATAACTCAATTTCAAGCATTTTTTTTGTCGTTTCGACTAGCCAATCTCGTGGAAACTCGGACGACGATAGAAGCAAATTTTTATCTACAGATTTTGTAGTGTAATATAAAATGTCATCGTGTTGATGAATATTTGATGGGTTTTTTACAGTCACCTCTTGTTGCAAGGTGAAAAATCCAGTATTATAAGTCATTCAAAAAACGATTAATAACGGTCAAACCCGCATGATTGAGTAGAATTTTCTCAAACGTTTAGCAAAACTACCGAGAAAATCAAAAAATTACCTCTTTAAAGAAACCGTCTTATCGTATCAGATAACCGATATTTCGATGTGCAGGACAAAACTTTTCCAGCATTATTTTTGTCCAAAAACTTAAGTACAGAAAAAAAAACTACTGAGTCAACACGTTTGGCTATTATCAGCCTGCAGAACACACTATTAAGATCACAAATGACGAAAGAGAAATTTCGGCACACTAATCAAATCGTTTTTGTTTTTTTTTTTTATATTTCGATTGATCACTATATAAGCTGTTGCTCGGCAATATTGTGTCGTGTGTGGTATGAATAATATAAAATAACATTATAACAATCGTTCTATAGTGATGATAACAATAGCTGTTATTTTCAACAATATTTTACTACTGCGGCACGTGGATAGTATTATGCAGACGATAATTATTTTAACCGAATCGACAGTGATCGATTTCTCGTATTATGTTCGGGGACTTTGACGCGGCTGCAAAGTCCATGCAACTCTGTCGTAGCTCCTTCTTCGTCGTCCTCTTAGTTGTCGCCGTCGCCGAGACAGAACTGCAGCAGGTGACCGGTGGCGGAATTTTTTCCGGGTCGGAGGTCACCACCGAATATCCGTATTTAGTGGGACTGATCATTGGAGGAATAGTCGACGAGACGAATCGGAAGACCGCCATCTGCACGGGAACCCTGGTGTCTCCAGTTTTGGTGCTGTCGTCGGCGTATTGCATCGCGCATCTGACGACCACGATCACCGAGACTCCGGAAATCACTACGCTATTGGTACGCTACGATAAAAGTGACAAATGATAATATTTTCCACCGTTTGCCTCTATAGGTCATGGGTGGTTATAGCTTAACCACTCGCTGATACGACCATACTATATTATAGTATAGTACCATCGAGTACAAAGGTATAATATTCTACAGGTTGATTGGCCGAGCATGATCACATCACCCCATCCACCCCCTATTTTTCATTGATAATTATTAATCGCTCCAAATTCTGATTTATGTAACTTTTATGTAAGTATAGATACGCTTAAGGGCCACATTTCCAAATAATTACATTTTCTTGATACCATTGAATGAAGGGGATTACTGTGACGGAACCAACAATTTTATCACACAGTTTTCTCAGCTACATTGTTAAGAAGATGTTTTTTTTTTTTTAAATATTTATATTGAAATTCGAAGTCTTTGAGTTGATTGACTCTGTGTACAAAGTATAATAATAATATTGGACCATGGGCATGGGTTCGGGGACTAGCCAATTTTAACATTTGAGCAGTCCATAAATTAATATTAAGCCATCGAAATTGTATAGTTTGTAAAAATTCTATGGCTATAATAAATAGTATCACATATGCTTCGTACTTAGTTTAAAGACTATTATCTTCAGTTTATAAATTTTAACAATTTTATTCAGCGACTACTCGTTCCAGTTTTGATTTAAATACATCGACATTTTCAATCATCTTCTTGACAATGTATAGGTAGTAAAAATACGGTTGTTTCTCATTTGAAAAAAAACATAAGTTTGCACTTTGTATTGCCACAAAGAACACTCATCCAAAGGTATAAAAAAAAGATATATAGTCCTTTGACTATATTTAAAATGTAATACTCAGAATTTAAATAAATTCATTATTAAAGGGATAAAATGGGATGAGCATACTTAGTGATCCATTCTGTTATCTGTGTAATTTATAGAAACGTATAAACTTAAAATATCGATTTCAAAATATCGAAGACGTCACCTTATATCTGTAGAGTGTTAATCCTATTAAGTGTACAAATGAATAGTTCTAGTAGCATTGTTCGGTCGTTAAGAAAAAGTGTTAATATTTTTATTTTGCAGGATTTAATGTATAATTTAGCAGTTGAATGTGAAGCATGGCAATTTAATTGGAAGTTTGTATAGCTGTATAACATTTTAATTTTGGCTTTCACTTACTCTTTGCCATGTACTTGTCCGTTAAATAACTCATAAAATACTAGTTAGATTTTAGATTTTCATCCATTGAAATTTTCAGGATAAAAAAACCGCTAAATAATAAAATACAAAGTAGAAAATTAGGGAGTAATCGTTTGAAAAACAGAAGTTTGTATCTCTATAGTTCACTTCATACTTCACTTTAAAAAGTACAACGAATCTCATGAATTTGAAAATATGGTCATAAACTCAAAGCATATTATTTAAAAATCTTTAAAATCTGCAGGTTTTGCACCTATAACTGCATTATTGAAGAAAAAAGGAAATGGACGTATTTTCTGAATCATCCTGTATATAATATTATTATGTGTATTATTATAAGACTTTATAACCCTAAAAAAATACCTGTTTGAAAATAACATTTCTTCGCGACCGAACGATTATGTCATACGTGGGACTCAATTGCGTATGTAATGCTACTTGAACGACAGCGGCGATACCCCTACACCCTCCCCCCAACCACCATCATCATGGTACCGAGTACCGACTATATACCGTAATATTATGACCACGCTCTTGCTCGTGGAGCACGCGAATGATGTGTCCGCATTTCCGATTACGATCGTTTTTCTACCAACAGGTGTATTGGAAGACACCCACAAACTCTGTCAAGTACCACCGGGCCACGAATATTTACACCCATCCGTCATACAACACAGCCACACGTGTGTTCGACTTATCGCTGATAAAGGTGATGAACGATCCGTCCTCGCAATCGTTTTCCCACGCATTGTATATTACTCGATTTAGAAGCAACACCGCCTGTCTCAAAGTTTAGCCGAATCGAGTTAGCAACTGTGGTCTTATTCCCAATTTTGAGCTAAATCGATTGGTTGTATCAGATTCAGGATAAAGACAATAGTGAACGCATCAATCGAAAAAACGATAACACAGCATAATGTCTAAAATCGTAATACGACACCACCTACCTCTCTCCGTACGAATTTATCTGTGTAAAATTAAAATCAGTTGAGCTTTTATAAAACAATATGTTTCATCGTAAAAGTTTTAGTTTGATTCATTAATTAGGTATTGAACTAATTTATAATTTAATTCATATTTTTAGTGAATTGATTCACATAATATTATCCATGTTTATTATGGGTATTAAACACTATTTTGAAATAGGTTATGCTGTGTTATTGAATGTATGGCACAGACACTGTTGATTGTATTATATTATTACAAAAAATGTTAAAATTATTATAAAATGTATCAATTACACAGAAACCGATTTTTTGCTCTCCTGTAAAGTTTAGAAAACTTAGATATGTGGTGTTGCTTCTTAAGCTACGAATTCGGCTTATCACCGAGACTAACATTAAATTCATATAAAATATTATAATGTAATGTTATAACAGCTCAAGAAGCCGTTCAAGCACGTTGAACGTTTCGTCAGACTGTCGTCCAAAACGTTGAACAGCGACGTTGAACTGAGTTGCATGGTTGTAGGGATCGGTGCTCCAAATGAACGCGGTTACAAGGTCCCAGTCCGTGTCAAGTACGGCCTTACCGCTTGCCGGATTCCCAAGTCCAAGTGAGCAAGATTAACTGTAGATTTTCCAGCCAATCTGGTATACCTACCGTAGTCTGTAAAACATTTTCCGAACTGTTCAGTCCGAAAACAAAAGTTCGAGATGTCTAATCGAAAATAACCAACGCATATTGTGTATTGAGTGTAAGAGCATATTGTTACAACCGAATTTTTGGTGTAAAAACTCTTGCGGAAAACAGTGAATACACGATCTATACTAGTTTGAAAGGGTAACCATAATACATTCACAATTTATAGATGTTCCGTTACGTAAAACTCCAATATATCTGAATATCTCCTCTATTTCGGATTCTCACCTTATCCAAGGTGGCCTAAGTATAGATTGGTTGCTTGGTGGATGAATCTCAAGGACTTTCCTTAAACTCCCTCAAATTGCTCTGTATTCTAATTTTACTTTGCATGACCAACCATTTTGGACTCTCCCCGTTGTAAATAAATAAATAAATTCAAATAATTTATAACTCACGTGTTGTAATAAACAACGAGAGTGAATGATACAGGATGACGTTTCCCGCGACGTTTCAGCGGCGGTCTCGAGTACGTGATCGGATTTACTTGGGAGGATTTCCTGTGTGCCGAGACGGTAGGTCCGACAGCCACACGATTGCCATGTGACAGAGCCGATGCTCTGGTGTGCTCCGGCGGCCGATATCAGTATGGGATCTTCAGCTATGGGTACGACGGTACAGGCGCGTCTCCAGCGATGGAGGCGACCGAGTGCGGTGATCCGGCAATTCAAGGCAGACACCTGTTCGTCAATAGGTACGCTGGATGGATCGCCGAGATGATGGCGGACCACGGTGGCGACTCAAAGCAGATAGACGAAGATAAAAAGACGACGACGACGACTATGCCGACGAAGCGCCGTCGCTCCACGCGGCCACGACCGACATCCACCTCGACTCCAGTGGGAGTGCCAGAAGACTCTAGAACCGAACAGCTGGAAGTTAACTACCCGTATCTAGTGTACTTGGAAGGCCTGTACGACGAACCAGTGTGCGGTGGCACTCTTGTATCACCTTGGCACGTGCTCACGACTGCGTACTGCACGACCAGGATGACCGAAATCACGGTATGAAACGCGCGTAATAATATACCACTATACACGCCAGCCAACCAGAAATCGTCAACTGTATACATTAAAGGCATATTATAAAAGTATTGCTGATTAAGCCACCACATTTAATATGTTATATGGTTTTACCCCAAAATGTATCATCGGTGTAAAGGAGTTGGGTGTGTTGTGAGAATGTAACAAAAACCATTAATTCATATATTTTATGTTGTTATCACGCCTATAATGCGGTCGATAACCATCGACTGTCTTTCAAATAATATATTTGTCTAGAAAATATAAAATAATATCTCGATAGTACACAGATTTATTTAAGCGCCACAACCGCGGGGTGTCTTAATGGTATTAAAAATGAGCACGGACGAGTATTAGGGCGAAATGTCGAAGTGATAACCGAGTTTAATGAATATCATAGGAAAATTCCCCAAATCAAAATTGTGACCATTATATAACTTATAGTAACAGCCAATAGGTGCATCTACATCGAGCAATATTGTACCAAAAAGATTGTAAAAGGCACCATCTCGAGAATATTTGTCTTTTTCAAATTGACCGATCGTGTTTAAACTCAAACCATACTCTATTCAGTTTAAGTTGACCCACTTTCGAGCATGCATACTGAGCCGCCGAAACAGTCTGGTCGGTGAATGGTGTTCCGTGATTGGTCGCTGCCGTCGCCGATCGTCGTTTACTATCGGAGTCGACAGCAGTCGGTAATGCAACACTAGCGACACTAGCGCTGCGAGACATGCGCGACCATGACCAGTTTTTGTCTGACGAATGGGTCAACTTAAACCGAATAGAGTATAGGCTTAACCATAGTTTTATCGCTTCGATTATTCTTAATTGATTTTGCCACGTCGCTTGTTAGAACGTCAGACCATAATATGTAATATACACAGAGTATCTATTTATAACTTTCCAGTTGAAAACCCGTTTTTTTTTTGGTAATATTTTTTTTTTCGTATTTCGCTGCAGGTGACCGTCACGACGTACCGTATACAACGGACGATCGCGAGCTTCGTGTACATTCATCCGGACTTCGACACGTACACGCTGCACGCGGACATCAGCATCGTGGTCGTAAGTCATCCTACAACTCTTCTCCTCGGCACTCGCCATTTCCCCCCCCCCCTTCGCATTGCTAATACAATAATTGCAAGGTATCGTTTTTTATCCGCACAGTTACGCGAACCGTTGAACGTGACCAGATACGCTCGGCTGCCGGACATTGGCAGCGAACCGACCGACGGCGACAACGCCGACAAGACCTCCAAGGCCCTGGCTTGTGCGGTGGTGGCGGCGAGCAAACGACTGACACCCTATCATTACGTACCGGTCAACGTCGAGTACGGGCCCAAAGCTTGTCGGGAATCATCGGAGTACGTATACACAAGTTATTATTATTAATTGTTATCAAGTGAATCGTGGGCGTAAACAGCTGACGACTCGTAAATAACGTACAAGCTTACAATGAAAAGACGTTATTAATAATATTGCTGTCGTTTTAGAGCCCTAAAAATATAATATTATTTTAATTGGCTAATGGCCAATAATAATAAAGTACCGCTCATTACATACGAATTTCTTATATAATTTTTTCCCAAATTCACGATTTTTAAGCTTGAAAATTCATCACCGCGATTCGTAATTCGTAATTTACTATTAGGCATCAGCGTTGATTAAACGACATCTGCAGGCCGAATTTAATCGTGGTAAATTTATTGTTGTACACCCATCAGTTTGGAAATTCAGACCGCCGTCAGCAAGACTTGGCGCGAGTTTACTTGCGGAACTCTCAATCGCCAATTTCTGAACGACACGGGAGATCCGTTGATCTGCGATGGATTTCAGTACGGCATAATCAGTCACACGTACAGGACTTCGGAGTTGGCTGCCGAAGCCGGAAGTGCCGGTCAAGTGCGTTTCGTGGTAATCGACCACCACAGAGGATGGATTGACCACGTGATCAAGGCCGATATTCAATTAGGCTCAAGCGCCGGTCGCCGGAACGCATCGCCAGGTCTCGTGGTCGTCCTGGTTGTGATGTCTGTCGTGTTCCAATTATCGTCTCAGTTTAGGTAGTGTATAACTTATTAAATATCCCCTCTTATTTGACTTCGGCAGGCAACATAGCTTAGTTCTAAAGGTTGGTTTTGTCGGCGTCCTCTCGTCTCCGCGTCATAAGTTTTTTCATCACAATAGTGATGAAGTTGCTGATGATGTTCCAGTTTCCTTTTGATATCAGCATTCGCCCCACTTTATGTTCTCTGGTTCTCAACAACTGGTCTCGAGTCGCATTTCTGCATCTCTTCTTTACGTATGCTAAGCATATCCTTCGAATTGTGTGATATGTGTCACTCATCTGGTGGATGCCGCAGAACTAGCACTCCAGTGACTCTAAATGGCCAAATCTGTGAAGATACGCTGGAAAACAGTCATGCCCGAATATAAATCTTGGGTATGGTTAGTCTACTTTCCCCTAATCAGTCGACGAGTCTACCTTCCTTTTGTGTTACCGTGACATATTACTTGCCACGATCTTAGCGTTCATATAATAAAATCTTCTTAGGTATAATTTTTGGGCCCCCACATGAACATGTTCAGTGGGGCCCTTTATCTTCTTGAAGAATAAATAAAAATAAAATAATATGTCGGTGGTAACGATGCACAGTTATGAGGTAAAAGGGTTCAGATTAAGAATAAGTTATAAAAAGGGTTATGCCTTGGCTTATGGTTGTGACATCAGCGCCAATATAAACGTATACCTTATATATATGACAATGAGCACCAAATATATTCAAAGAAATATCATTTGCACCAATATTAATATCTTATGAATTTCAAACAATTCAAAATCGTAAAAAAAATTGTTTTTGTTAAATAGGTATCAAATGCATAAAAGGTTTATATTCGTATAATATTGTTTTATAAATTTAATTTAACTACGGTATAAAGATTACTCGAATGCCTACCACGTAAGTAGATACTTACAATATTGGTAATGTTATAACACAAAAACTCTAACGCTCTACAGAGTAATCGGATAAGTGCTTTTGAACTGTACGATTTATTATTTACTTATCTCATGTTGGCGCTTCTGACTTCTACCGATTAAAAGCATACCTATTCATCTATTTTGAGTGTACTAAGGACTTCAATATTGCGTGTTTCTTAGAGTATACATGACCATAAAACTATTGTTTACCTTGATTATAACAACTTCCAGTGACACTATGGCCGCGCATGTTATACCTATACTAGCTGGCATGCATTTTCTATTGTAAATAAATTACGATATGTTAAAAATATAAAACAGTTGAAATTTTTTATTTTAAAATTGTTACAGGCCTTAAGTTTTACTCTAATATGAATATTTGGTGTTTACCGTCTACTATCATATTATATAGTAATGACGAGACTGAATCTCAAAAAACAAAACACGTTGCCCGTCCCAGAGAATAACATAGTACAACAACACTGCAAAAATGTCGTTGGAAAAAAATTGTTTCGGATATGATGGCAAACGTTGTGCAAAACAAAACGTGGAAGCTTAACCGTTCAAAAAGTTAAAAAGTTTTAATTTGTAATTGTTTTTTTTTTAATTTTAAATTTTAATGCCCATCGTTAATAATATCAGACAAGTGTATCGTCCAACTATATTGTCGTTATTAAGGTTAAAACGCTTCGATATAGACTGTAAAATGTACCTACTTATTATGTTTGACCCAACGGCATAAAACGATTCTTTGACTTTTTTTATGTTTTTAATAAACCAAACAATGTATAATCTTACCGTAATCGGACAAAAAAATAAAACAAAATATACTTATAATAATATAAATTTAATATAAAGTGTTAACATAATATTTTGAAATCTGTTTGGAGGAAAAAAAATCCTAATAAAAATT